GGTGGGCGGGAGATGGGGGCCGGGGGGGGGGGGGTCCAGAAGTTCTGTATTTATTAACGCTTTTGAACCTGCCAGTTTGAAATTTTCTTTGCCTGTCATTCCATTCGGGAAGATAAAGGACACTGTCATTCCAAGCCTAATGCAAGGTTGCTGAGAGATCAAAGGGATGGGTGGTATTTAGCCTCTTCCCAAAATCTGCTTCAAAAAGAAAAGATTACACCTCTTAGAAGGGACGGAGATGGGATCCTTTTAGGGCAACTTCCTGGTCTCAATTAGGCTCCCCTGGGCAGAAATAGCAATTTCCAGAGAACTGCCCCCAAAGTTGAAATTATTTCTGGTTAAATTGAAGGTAGAAAGAAGCTCCTGTTTTCCTCTTTGACCAGGCAACGTCTCCTTAGGTCCATGGTTTTATAGAGGGCTTTGAACATCCATGAGTTGAATAAGGAGTAGGTGCCATGTACCAAGGGACTTCTCTGGAGTTTCTGGAGTTCAAAGGCTCGACTGTGATGCTTGCTCATGCAGTAGAGGAGGGAAGGGAAAGGAAGGGAATATGCATTTAATGGAGCACTCACTGTGTGCTGGCTCTATGCTGAGCACTCTACAGATACCCTCTCAAGTCATTCGGGGAGGTAGGTTTATTATCTTCATTTGACTTTGGACTGTTGTTATCTCCATTTTACAGTTGAGGAAACTAAGGCAGTCAGCAGTTAAGTGACTTGTCTGAGGCAGGATTTGAATTCAGGTTTTCCTGACTCCAGGCTCAGTGCTCCATCTACTGCACCACCTAGCTGCCTTGACTAGTAGACTTAAGAAAGTAATCTGGCTACAGCAGAATCATATGATGGCTGTTACAGAAGCATTTTTTTTTGGTTGCCAAGTGGGCCATTTTGCTAGTAGTTGGTGTGATTTCCACAATTCTTGCCCTTTCTAATGTAGGCATTTGCCCGTGAAGCAATATTACTAGTTCTGAGAAGTCTTAGAACCTAGTCACAGTCTCTCCCTCCCTCTCCAGTCCTCTAAAAGTCAGGGATATGTGCCTCTTTCATCATAGGAAATCATGGCCAGTCGGGGGATTGGAGACAGGCATCTTGTAAAAAGGCATAAGGTGATTAGTGTCAGACCTTGGTGTGTGGCAGAGCAGGCTCCCTGGTACCTTTGATTTATACTTCTGTATCTGAAATACTGTGGGTCAGTGGCATCCTCACCCCTACACCTTCTCTGCATTGAGGCAAACTGCTGGAAGCCAGTCTGGCTGCATCCATTAGTTATATTTTTGCCTACAGTGCTTTGCTTAGCCTCTCGAGTTCATTGGAAACAAGGTCGTGGGTATTTCCAGATCTCTTCTGGTCACAGTTTTCTGTCTGTTTTATCTGCATCTTTCCCAGTGCTTTTTGCACAAACCATTTTGAAAGGCTAAATGAGAAAATCCAGCAACTGAAAAGGAACTCAAGAGAATTAAGTCAAAAAGAGAGCCGCCTGGGCTCCAAACTCCAAAGTCCTATCTACCTATCTACCATCTTTGAAGTCATTCTGGTTTAATGTACTATTTGCTGTCATCTGATTTCTTGCTATCATATTTTACTTGTAATAATGGTGCTGACGTGTAACTTGTAGAGAGATACACATAACATTGTCTTACAAGGTTCTTAAGAACTTTTGCTGTTCGGAGTCTGAATAAGCAATCTTCAGCAGAAAGAACTAACTAGGCCCAACTTTTTGACTAACAACTAATTCTGGGCGAGTTTTTGGCCCTAAGCAAAGGGCTATATATACAGGCTGTTCCAAAAGTCTTGTTAACAGTTTTAAGCTATTGAAGCTTATCTAACTCCAATCCTAATTATAACCCTAACTCAAATTCTAAGCTAAAATCTTCTCTAAGACGTTTAGGATGCCCTGAATAAAGCTGCTTTTCTAATATAAGTAACATTATCTCAGCTTTACCAAAAAGTGTTACAGCTGTGATAACCTTGTCATTAATCAGATTCTTCTCCCTAGAATTCAGCTCAATTAAATACACATCGGGGCCCTGTTATTTGCAATACACTGTACTTGTCACTTAGGGGTGATGGGGTAGATGATAGTGTGAATAAAATATGACACTGAAGCTTCGTGATATAGTAGAGAAGATAAAACAAGGAACTATAACACAAGGTCAGACATATTGAGCGCCATAAATGGGGCATAAGGAAAGTCCTGATAAGGTTTGGAGGAAGGAGATTTTATATCCAGCTAATGGTATCCGGCTTTGTGAAGGTGATATTCATGCTAGGCCTTGAAGGACAGACTGTCAGTAAATGAAGACTGGTGAAAAGCAGTGAAGTGTAGTAGAGGGACAGCCTAACATAGTGTAAAGAGCACAGGACTGAGAGGTACAACACCTAGACTCAGATCCCAGCTTTGTGACCCTGAGGAAGTCACTGCACTTCCCTGATCCTCTGTTTCTTCATCTGTAAAATGGGAATAATAATACTTGGCCCTGCTTACCTCGCAATGTGAGGAAGATGGTTTTAAAACATTAAAAGCCGATAGTAATGCAAATTATCATAATTATTATTTGTATAGAACAGCACAAACAAAGGCCAGATGGTCCCATAGTCATGAAAAATATCTGTGGAGTAGCAAGTAGTCCATACTGGCTAGAACAGAATGTGGGGTGCATGTATAGGAGTAGTGAGAGATCAAGCTAGGAAGATGTTAGGGCCAGATGTGGAGAGCATTCAGCTCCAGGCTGAGGGCTTCAGACTTTATTTTGTTTATTCTGTATGTATTTATAGCCGTGCGTGATTTCTCCCCTAATAGAACCCAAAGCAGTAAGAGCAGAGACTGTTCCACTTTTGGTTTTGTATCCCCAAGTACCTAGCTCAATGAGTGACACGTTGTAGGTGCTTAATAAGTGCTTGTTAACTAATTGATTGATAGGCAGAAAGGAGCTAGTAGCAGGTTTGCAGGAGTGAGGTGAGCAGAGCCACGCTTTGGGAAAATTGATCTGTAGTAGCATGAGAATAGAAAAATGTGGGGAGGACACTTCAGACACCTCTTTAATAGCCAGTGTGAAGAGCAGCGAGGACCTAAACGTGGCTTCTAAAAGTTGGAATGGGAAAGAGAAGATACAATCAGGGATTAGTGTAGTGAGGAGGTGGAATTACTGGGATTAGGCACCCGATGAGATATTGGAATTAGAATCACATGTGTATACTTCACCTTGGAAGTTGGAGTATGCACGAGGGGGAGGGGAGGAGAGGATCCCTAGAGAAACTTGTTAGTTTGGGAGAAAATGACGAATTCAGTCATAGTCAGTGAACATTTATGTTAAGCACCTTCTTCATGCCCAGAACTGAGCTATGCACTGAGGATACCAGAAAAGGCAAAAGACAGTCCCCTTTCTCAAGGAGTCTGCCATCTAACGGGGAAGATCACGTGCAAACACTCACGTATGAACAAGCTGTGTACAGTGTGAATTAGAAATAAGCAACAGAGGAAGGGCATTTGAAGGGAGCCAGGGGAGCCAGGAGGCAGAGATGAGGAGGGAGAGCTCTCAGGGCCTGGGGGTCAGCCAGGGTCAACGGCCAGACCTATGAGATGGAGTGCTTGTGTGAGTGATAAGGGGGTCAGGTCCTAGAACACGTGGTAGAGAAAGGCAGGCAGGTTACGAAGGGCTTTGAATACGAGTCAGAGGATTTTATATTTGATGAGCCAGACTTTCCCTTCTGAGGTAGGATTAATCAGTTCTTTATGCAGTGCTCGGAAGACCTTGGATGCTGGGATCCTTCTGCTTGGGTTGTTTGGGTTGTCTGGGTGTCTCGAGGTGGGGAGGATCCCCTGAAGTTTATTGAGTAGGGGACAACACGGTTAGCCCTGTGCTTCAGGAAGAGCAGTCGGACAGCTGAGTGTAGGATGGATTGGCAGCTGGAGACCAACCAGAGGATACTGCAGTGGCCTGGGCGAGAGGTGGTGAGGGCCTTCACCCGGCCATGTCAGAAGAGGGGAGGGGGCGCATCCAAGAGATGTGACGAAGGCAGAGCTAACAGGACACGATGACAGCTTGGACGTGGGCATGAGAGAGAGTAAGGAGCGATAGAGAGAGCGCTCAGCTAGCTTGTGAGCCTGGATGACTGGGCCAGTGGGGGTTCCCTCAACGGTACAAGGTAAGTCTGTAAGGTAGGAGCAAGGTGATGAGTTCAATTTGGGACATGCTGAGTTGATGATGTCTCCTGGCCATCCGGTTGGAGAGGTCTGAAAGCCAGTTGGAGATATAAGATTGGAGGTTAAAGGAGAGGATAGGTCGGACCAGTAGATTTGAGAATCATCAGCATAGAGAGAGTAGTTCATTAAATCCATGGGAGCTGATGAGATCACCAGGGGACGTAGGATAGAGGGAGGAGAGCAGAAGGCCCAGCACAGGCCCCTGAGGGGACACCTGTGGTTAGAGGAGGATCCAGCAAAGGAGACACAGAAGGAGGGTCAGTGAGGTCCAAGTGTCTCTTCTAAAGAAAGCTGTGCCATCACTCAGCACCTCCTGGAGAGTGGAGAATTCTGTAGTTCAACCTATGGCCAGAGGCAGTCCCTTGAGTTCTCCTTAGCATCCTCAATTCTTTTTGTGTGATTGGAGCAAGTTGCTTCCCAGGCTTATCCAGAAGCCATACTTTCTCTTCTGAATTAGAATTCGTCAGTTCTTTATGTAGTACTAGGAAGGCCTGGACCAGAAGCTGGGATCCTTGTTTGGTTGTCTGGGTGTCCAAAGGTGGACACAGGCTTGGTCTGGAGGGACTGGGTTAGAAATGGAGACTAGATTGCCGTCAGCATTTCTTCTCTACTCTTCCCTGTGCATGGGAAGCACTGGGAGACTGCAAGGATGTGTGGGTCCCTTTAATTTGAAAACGTGACCCAGGACTGGTGGCGGTGGTTGGTGCTCAGGGATGCTTTGGATGGATCTCCACTTGGAATACTGTCAGGCTGGTTCTGCTGCCTGGCCTGGCTCATGCTTAGTCTTTGTTTTTCAGCTCCACAGAGGTGGATGACATGATCCGGAAGTCTACAAACCTGCTGTTGACTCGAACACTGAGCAGCTCTCTGCAGAATGTCATTAAGAGGAAGAACGTCGGGCTGACGGAGGTGAGGCTGCACAGCTGGGGCTGCCCTGGCCTAGACTGGAGCATCTCTGGCATGTGGGGCCCATCCTGGGAGGCGCATTGTGGCCACAGCAGAATTCCCTGTCCTTTTCTCACCTTCACCTTTCCGCCACCAGTGCCCCAGGCCCGTCTTGGTTTAATCTGTTTGTGCTTTGTCTTTCCTCCTGCAAAGCCGAGTTCTTTCTCTCCATGTCTTTCGTGGGCTTAGCCAGCTTTCCGGTCAGAAGTTGATACGGTTGGAAGGAATAGTGTGGATCATTTGCCATTAGTTATATGAGAGGGATTTTGCTCAGAGGATACTCTCAACATCAGGTTCCTATTAATGTGAATGACAGTCCAAATATAACATTTTATATGAATTCAACTCTTGCCTGCGTAAAATCACGGATGCCGAGGATCTTGGCAGTCACAGCACTTGGCTGGGGTATGCAGACCCGGCTTTGGCTTTGGGGAAGTCTCCCAGTCCCCTCCAATCCCCTCATGACAGGTAACGCACTTGAGCAGCCCAGAATCTGGGGGTCTTTACAGGCAGGGAGACTTCCAATCAAGGGTCTTAGTGGTAGCTCATTGTGTCCTCCGAGGAAAGGGGACAAGTCGTGCTGTATGCTCAGAGCCCCATCCCAGCCCCCTGAAGAGCAGCCCAGATAACTGGGGGCCTTCTGGAGTTTGGGGAAAACCATTGAAGGGAGTGCAGCAGTCAAGAGCTCTGTTAGCCAGCCAGGCACATAGGGGGAGTCGCTGGGTTAACCCTGGACCCGGGTACACAGCAGACCTGGTGACGAAAGTAGGAGGGAAAGGCTCTGGATGTGGGTGGCATGCGGTGAGATGTCACTTGTTCGGTTTAGTGCTCGGCAGCAAGGACAGCGTGTGTCTGCAGTCTGAGTGGGAGAGGATTGATGTCATGAGTGTTGGGTTCTTGTTATCCTGGATGTTGGGCAGTGCCCTCCGAGAGTTAGTGCCAGGCTTCTTGGGGATTCAGAGAGAGGGGGAGGGAGCTGGAGGCGAGTGCTTGGGTGCATCTAGATGGTTCTTCCTCCTTCCAGGCAATTAAAGACGAATCAGTCATTGTGGGGTAGGACGTGGGCTGTCTTGTCAGAGCTGAGTGTGTGTTTAAGAGGTGGGAGAGATCCTCGTGATCATCCATTCTGAGTCTTTCCTCTGACAGGTGAAGAGACTGAGGCTCGGGGGGGGGTAGTGATTCACTGAGGGTTGTCTTGCTCCCCAGCCTCTGCACCCCCAGGACGTGCAGCAGATTACCCTGGGGGTGGGGGAAATTGTGATGAGAAAGGAGAGCTCTGGATGAATTAGGTTCCCTTGGGGAAAGAAGCATCATTTTGTCATGGAAGGTCCTTGTGTGTCTCTGACACTCTGTTTTCCCATCCGAGTAATGGAAGGAAGATCGCTTGTGTTCTGGCCCTTGTAGGGTTGGTACAAGGACAGTGCTGAGGAAATGTCAGTTGTGAGATTCGTGCTGCGGGTCTTTGTGGGGTTTGTGGGGGTTGCTGTCTGTGTGCTGCAGTGCCCCGAAGACCGGCAGTTCAGCTCAAAAGGACCACCTATTTACTGACTGCTTAGATCATCTGGCCGGTTGATGTGATTGTTTTTCCCCATTCAAACCGGCGACCATCTCTTTATTTTGTTCAAGCCACATGACAGAGTGCTGGCTTGAGACTTGAGCCCTGGAGTGTTAATTCAGACCTCCTTCCTCTGACAGACTTTGTGACCTTGGAGCTAAACTCTGAGCTTAGATCTCTGAGGGAATTTTTGTGCCTGCTTTTCCTCACCAGCAGTATGGTCATGAGCACACAGTAGGTCCGAAGGCCGAGGAGCTCCCCAGGAAAGTTGCTCTCAAGGCACTTGGTTTCTGAGAGTGATTAGTAAGCATCTGTACAGATAGCGCCAGGCTCTGCAAAGAAAGGTTGCCCCCAAAACTCTGGGAGAGCCTTGCTATGTGGGCAGTGTGGAGAGGATCACTCTTTAGATCTTTCCAGCCACCCAGACCATCAGTAGCATCACTCTTTAATACATCCACCACCCTGAGTACATATAAGCATACAAACACACATTCATGCATTCGTACATGTACCTATGTACGTGCATACACACGTACCTATAAGAACGTCTGTGGCTGTGCCACTCTTTGCCCCAATTTCCACATCCTGATTCATATCATATCTACATGTGCACACCCTCCCAGTTTATGTCCCATTTTGCTTTTGTGTGTATTTTTCTCCCTTATTTAAAAGTTCAGCCTCATCAGATGTGAATGCACTCTGAACGGGTGCCTAAATGGGCCAATTCTCCTACTGAGCCTCCTTACGTCACGTCTTTGGTGATTACACGGATTGGGCTGAGAAAAAAACAAAAAACATGAAACTACAATGGAGTCCTGTTAGGACTGTCCTGGACATTGACTTCCTTCCCCTCAAGGAAGCTGTGCTACCCGCCAGCGTCCCCCCCTTCCTCCCCACTTCCCAAGGTGCTCAGGACTCTCTGGCCGCTAGCACCGTGCCCTGGAATGCCCAGTCCTCCCCCATCCACACCCCTACCTGAGCTTGGCTTTTCTCTTTTGTGTCTTATCTCCCACTCTGAGGGCAGAGCCTGGTTTTCTTTTTGTTTGCATCGGTGTCTTGGGTGCTTAGCAGATGCCTGGTACATGATAGGCTCTGGGGAAATCTTAGATATTAATTATTATTATTAGTCAAGACTTAAAATGGCGTTCTTATGGTAACAATAAGAATAAGGACATAATGTGAAGAGCATTTCCATCATGCTTTGAGGTTATACAAGTTGTCTCAGTGGATGCTCTCATGATCATCCTTTTACAGATGAGGAAAATGATATTCACCTGAGAGAGGGCAGGAAGTGAAGACTTGTCCAGGGACCCCCAGCCAGTCCCGAGTCTTACCCACTGGGCTGCCTGGCTGCCTGCTACTGCCAGTCAGTGCTGGGGGGTGACTTAAGCTTTTTCCCAGCCCATCTTGCTGTTGTCTCTCCTGAGGGCATGATCTTCAAATTACACAGTAGTTCTCCCAGCCCACACTAGGTGTGATTGAGATTGGTGACCCTTTGACCCTCTTTCTCTTCTTGTTTTTGGTGGCCACTGAGGTGCTGCTGACGTTCATTATTTGCGGGGTGCCACCTGGATTCCTAAGATGTGTGATGTCTGGGTTGTTCTCCGGGCCAGGCCTTGGGAGTCTGCAATGCCCTTCCCCACGAGCTCAGTGAAGCCGGGGAGGGGGTGGACTGGCCTCAGCCTTGTGGGGTCAGTCTGGCACTAGAACAAAGGAAAAGTCCTTGCTGTCCCCGAGGGAAGGGAGCTGCTGATTTATACTCTTGTGGCCTAGCCTTACAGCCCGGGCTCCTGGGATACAAAAGAGAGTAAGGCCTTCCACCATATTGAGCAACACAGCAGAACCTTGGGCAGGTAGACCTCTCCTTTTGTCGTGAGCATGGACACCCCGGGGCATGCCGGATGGGCCTCCAAGCCACTTAGAGTAAGAGTAGAAGTAGTTTTCTGGAGGACTTGGAAAGGCATCATGACGTCGTCCAGCTGGAGTCAAGACTTGGGTTCTTACTCATACCTGTGTGTGTCCTTATATGTAAAATGAGGGATTTGCACTGAGTGGTCTCCCCGATGTCTCCCAGTTCTAAATCCTATAACTTGTCCGTCTCTCCTGGAAGTGCTTATGTCTAGGCTACGTTCCTGCTGTCCCACTGGGATCCAGGGGCTCTGGTGGTTGAAACTGGACATGGGTGAGGGATCCTCTGCAGATCTCTCTGGTTCCTCGAGCCTCTGGGGCTGGGCTGTGTCCTACGTCGACTCCACTCACAAAACTGACCTGGGTGAGAATGACCTCCAGCACAGGAGAGAGATGTTGGTTCTGCACTCCAGGGTGAGCCCTGCCCTGCACATGAGGCCAGCTCCTCTCCGGTGCATCATGCACAGCCACTTACAGCTGCTTTCTTGTTCTGCCTTTGAAACAGTCCTCCCGCGTGACCTGCAGGAAAATATTTTTAAAGTCAGGGAGCAGGGGGGAGGGGCAAAAAAATCACAGGAGAGACTCAAATGATGATGAAATTTTATCTCTGAAATTGTTCCTACACAAGTAACTTCATGATTAACCCCTCCCCCAGAGCATCTGCTTTTTCATTTGCAAATGCCCTTGTGAGGTTTTTGGGAGCTGTCACTCAGGAGCACAGATTGCTTAGAGCTTATTAACAGACAATGTTCCCCTGAAAATGACACAGTATCTGCTGTAATCCTAGGGCGTTTTAATAGTCCATTCTGTGTTCTGCCATGAAACATTTCCAGAGTGACTGACAGTCAATTGGTGTAATTCATGGGGATCTTTTGTGTTGACAGTTTTTGAAAAAGTCGTGGGAAATTATAATGTACCCAGTGAAGCCGTCTTTTTTTTTTAAGCTGCCAATATCATGAAAAACAGGACAATCTTCTCTTTGACTGTCACTGGTTTGCATTTGCGATAACATGACACGATCCCTCCTTCTTATTAGGATTTCAATTTATAGACACAGTGCCTTTCCTACAGGTAGCTATGCTCGTTTTAAAATAGAAACTCTTCAATTTTCCAAATTGATTCCCCCCTCCCAGCACCACGGTAGTCTTGTCAATAGCCACCTGTCCACCCTCACCAGTCAAGGAAGGAGTTAAGTGAGACTTTTATTTATTTTGTGACTTGTTTCTTCTCTTAGGTGGGGCAGAATGGGATAGGGGTGGGGCTGCCCTGATTCACTTTTTTCTGCTTATTTCCAAGGATGCTCTGACAGTTTGGACCTTTTCAGATAGAACAGTTCAGGGGTGGCGAGGGGGACTGTGTCCAGGAATCCTCCTCCCAAAACCTTGAGATTTTGGGGTAGCTTCTAAATCCAAACTCCTCTGCAGAGCTCAGAGAATTCCCGATGTCAGTTTACCAGCTCACCTGGTTGAAGGGCACCATCACAGGGGCTGGGGAGAAGCAGAGTTAGCCAAGCTTGGTGAGAATCGGCTCGCCACTTTCCCAGAGCGCCAGCCCCAAGATTTACTTAGTTCTTCATCTTTTGTAACCACATCGGGACTGGGCATCACAGTGTCTTCTTACCCTTCAGTCTCTATAGAGGATGAAAAGCTGATCAGCAGCTCCCACACACCATCCCTCTGAGGGCCGCCAGTTTTTGTGGCTATATGTATCTGCGGAAGACTCACAAGCAGGAGAAAGGTACATGTAATTTCCTATGGATATTTGCTGAACTCCAAGGTTGAGAAAATAGATTTTAGATATACATTGGGATCTTGAGAGAGAGAGATACTGACAGTGTCCTCATCTGTAAAATGGGATTAATAATAACACCTACCTCCCAGGGTTGTTGTGAGAATCAAATGAGATGATAATGGTAAAGTGCTTGGTACGTAATAAGCACTATTAAATCTTATTTTTATTTTGTTATTGTTCAGTTGTTTCAGTTATGCCTGACTCTTTGTGACCCCATTTGGGGTTTTCCTAGCAAAGATACTGGAATGGTTAGCCATTTCCTTTTCCAGCTCATTTTGCAGATGAGAAAACTGAGGCAAACAGGCTTAAGTGACTTGCCCAGGGTCCCACAGCTGGTAAGCAAATGAGGCTGGATTGAACTCGGGAAACTGAGTCTTCCTGACACTAGGCCCAGCACTCTACTGTGTCACCTAACTGCCCATCATCATCATCATCACAATTGTTATTGTTATTACTGTCCAAGTGGAGTAAATAAAACAATATCATAGCATCTCCCTTTCTTCTAGCTATACCTGAATGGAAAGTTCCTCTCTGCCATCCCCCTCTTGAAGGCTCCCAGCTTTAGAGGGTCTGTTACCTTGAGGGCTTCAGACTCATTCTTGGTGGTATGAGTGACCCCTGTTCTTTGGGGGAAGCTTCTCTGTCTCCTGTGGACTAGGTAGTAATACAATTAGTGGATGCAGAATGGGCAGAATGACCAGACTGTAGGAAGTTGTTAATCGTTTTCTGCCATTGTGTTAGATCTCCAGTGGAGTAGCCCAGGGATCTGTATTTGAAAAAAAAAAAATCTGACATTTTTGTTAGTAGCCTGGGTGGGGGCATAGGTGGCAGGCTCATCAGATGGGCACAAGACCCGGAGCTGAGGGGTAACCTAACAGTGAGTGAGAGTCAGCATCCACAGAGATCTTAACAGGCTAGAACAGAGCTGTCAGGCAGACTGCCTGTGACAGGCCACACAGCCCGCAACACTCCCAAGTACCACTGAACTCAATTAAAATGTAACTGGGAAATACTTAACTAAATAAAAATATAATAAAACATAGACAATACTATATTTTAAAACAAAGTCAATATGTGGCCACGGTCCTTATTTGCAGATTGATGGTTTCCATTTCTATTTGAGTTTCACACCATTGGGCTAGACTGTTGGGCTAAATCTAAAGAGATGAAATTCAGTGGGGGTAAATATGAAGTCTTATAATTGCGTAAAAAAAATTTGTTTCACAAATACAAGGTGAGGGAGGTGTGGTTAGAAAGCGGTTGTTCTGAAAAAGAATCTGGGTGAGTTAGTGGGCTACAGGTGCACTATGAGTCATGTATGTGATGGGAACATCCAGAAGAGCTAGTACAACCCCAGGACACACTAAGAGGGGCACGGCTTCCAGGAAATGAGAGGTGAGAGTTCTGCTGTAGTCAGCCCTTGTCACACCTCGTCTGGAGTAGTGTGTTCAATTCTGGTCCCAAAGTTTAAGAAAGACTTCAATAGGCCAGAGGGTTTCTAGAGGTGGGCAGCCAAGATGGTGAAAAGCCTTGGGTCCCTGTCATGAGGATGAGTTGTTGGAACTGGGCTTGTTACACTGGAGAAGAGAAGATTGACAGGGTGCATCATAGCGATCATCAAACATCGGAGGTACTGACTAATGGAGGAAGGCAGGAGATTTATTCTTTTGAGGCCCACAGGGCCTTTGACAGTGTTTGACAAGTCAGATTTAAGGTCAAGAAAGACTTTTGCCAGTTAGAGCTGTCTAGAGAATGAGTGGACTGATGTCTGAGAGGTGGTGAGCTCCCCTTTCTGGGAAGTCTTCCATCAGAGATTGGATGACCAACCATTACTTGTTTGGTATGTTATTGAGACTGCTTTGGCTTCTGCTTTGGCTTCCAACTCTTGCTTGTATGATTCTCTAAATTGTGGATGGAGTCACTCGTCTTAGGCTATAAAGATCTCATAGAGCCTGTGATCGGCACATCTTATATTGAGCACCGTTCTGCCAATGGACGTGGAATGCTTTGTTCTATGAGCCTGGAAGCTATTGGAATTGTCTGAGAAGGTCGTTCAGAGCTTTAAGAAGTATCACTGGGTTGGAAAGTTGGCAGTAATAATGCCCCACCCATGCTTCCCACTGGTGACAGCACATCTCTTACCCACCCTCTTTCACATACACTGTTTGTGTATGTAAAGCAAATAGGATGTCCTTTGCCCAGACATGGGTTCTTGTATAGAAAAAACACCACCACCAAACCCCCCCCCCCAAACCAAAACCCCCAAACATTATAAAAGAAGAGATAAGACAGGTTAGAGTTTCATTGCTATACATGGCTTATTTCAGATACAGGTTGTATGGGCAAAGGTGTCATGATTGAAGTAAGGTGCCAACTTCATGTTATAGATGATGAAGCCAAGGTGAGCCGACTTGAGGCACTTTGAGAGACCATCTATCCATCCCTTTGCCTCTAGAGATGCTTGCACTGTAACTCCACATGGATCTGAGCTCTTCTTTGTGGAGTGCCCCTTCTGGGCTACCCTGCCACTTGATACTTGTACTTTCCAGGTGGGTGTCCCCTCACCCAACTGCTCTCACAGGCGGGTGGATCCATGTTCCTAAAGCAAAGCCCACAAGCCTCCACTGGCAAGCTAACAAAGGTGATTGTGCCTCTTATTTCTTTACAGTTGGAGAATTTTGTTGATTTTTTTTTTATAGGAACACATGTGGGATACTAGAGGTAGTTGGCATATTTGCTCTTTATGCATAAATGTCTTCTTTTAGTCAGTCAGAAGACACATTTATCTCAAAGCAAAGGCATTTACTAAGATGGCATAGTAAGAACAGTAGCTCGAAAACATTTATTCCTCTGAAACCTGGAGTACTTTCTGCAGGAGTGGGCACAGACATTTAACACTATTAGTGTGAAACATACACAGAGGAAATCCATGTGGCCGAGGCAGCTCCTGCCTCAGCACCCCGGGTCCTGATTTCCTGCTTCTTGTGGTCACCTCCTGCCGCTCCCCATGGGCCCAGCATCTCCTTTGGGCGGATGGCTTGTGTGGGCGTCCTACGTCTGCCCCTTTGTGTCTCTTGGTGCTAGCTGGGGGACGTGGTGTTTCTGACCCCTGGTAAGGAGACATCAGAGCGTTGGGGGAGTCAGGAAGAAAGACAGACCTTCTTCTCCCCCAGCCTGGGCTTTCTGGGCCCACTTGGGGCACAGGCAGTTTTCATGCTGCCAGTCTGGCTCCTCTTCTGAGTTTATCAGGGAAGCTTCTTCATACTTTGTAAAGGAATAACAGGATGTGAGCGAGCCTTTGTACTTAGTTTAGCATATTAACATTTCATTTCATCTCATCTGCCCCTTCTTTTCTATAATCATATTAAAAAAAGATGGGAGCCTTGGGAGGGGCGTGCAGTTGCGGGGTGGGGCTGGAAATAATGACCCTAAGAAAGAAGATTTCTGAGCACTCTTCTGTGTATGTGTGTGTGACAACATGGACTGTTTTTCTTATCAGTCACTCTGATCTAGTCTCCTTTCATGCTATTCTGCACCATCCAGAGTGCACAGCTTGTCATCTCCTTTGCGTGTCCTCCCGGCGCCTCCTCTTTCTAGAGTTGTAGGCATACCCATTTAACATGATCCTTGTGCCCATGTACCTTTCTTTGCTTTGTAGCTTGTACAGATCATCATCAACACAACCCACTTGGAGAAGTCCTGCAAGTACCTGGAGGAATTCATCACCAACATCACCAATGTGCTCCCTGAGACAGTCCATACCACAAAGCTGTACGGGACCACCACATTCAAGGTGAGAAGTGCCCACAAACACATTGGATTCTGTCGATGGTGGCCTGAGCATGGCTCTGGGTCCCCTAGTATGAACTGTGCCTTGGGTCACTCCCTCGTTCTCTGGGGAAAATCTCTGGGCGCTTTTATTCCTCTTCTTTTTATAGGCTCTGCCACTGTAGAAGAGTAGTCAGTCTGAGTGAAGAATGAAGAACCCAGCCTGTGGTGCCCACATCACATTGTACCAATTCATACGGGTCTTCCCAAGTTTTTCTGAAATTATCCTCTTTTATCAGCACAATATAGGTCATCACATTTGTATACTATACCTTGTTCATTCCCCAATGGATGGTCATCCCCTCAGTTTCTAATTTTTTGCCACCACAAAAAGAGCTGCTATAAATATTTTTGTGCATATAGATTTTCCCCCGTTTTTTGATGTTTTTGGAGTACAGACCTAATAGTGGTATTGATGGGTCAGAGGGGATGGAAAGTTTTATAGCCCTTTGGGCATAGTTTCAGTTGTTTTCCAGAGTAGTTGGATCAGTTCACAGTGCACTACCAACAGTGCATTAGTGTATTTTTAGAGTTTTTCAATGTATTCACTAGTTGTGTTAACTTTTTTCCTCTTCTCTTTCTTGCTTATCTTTAAAAAAAAAAACACTATTTGCCACATGGAATAACTCTCTGGAAGGAGAAAGAGGAGGGATGTTGGGGAAAATTATGTTTAAAAAAAAAGGACAACATCAATAAAAATGTACTTTAAAATGAGATTATAGGATAGTTTCTGATGGAAAGATTAATTGACGTTAAAATAGAAGAAAAACTGCAAGTAAAGTTGTGAAATATTCCTAGTATTACCAGTCTGAGATAGAGGATTTCCTTTCATGAGATGACATTTTAGGAATGGTGTAATAAGATTTCAGAAGAAGAACTTTCTTTGGAATTGGGAGAGTACTGACCCTGGCTCTTTTGCTCATGGCTTTACTGTTTTGAAAGAACTGCTTTTCATTTCTGAGCCTTGGTTTCTGACCCTTTTGAATGAAGGTGTTCTACCAGGACATCACAAAGGCCCTTTTACCTCAGTCAAGTTATTTCAGAATGATCTAGATGGTTTACTTTGACTCCTGCTTTATGGATAAGAATGCATAGTAAGGCCTTTGCATAAATGTTATATGGAGAATGTTATATAGAGAAGTGATTTGGGTGACTCTTAAGTCAGTGAACATTTATTAAGTGCCTACTGTGTGCCAGCCCCTGGATTTAGTACGTGCTGAGAAAACAGAGAAAGGCAAAAGACAGACAGTCCCTTCCCTGAAGTTGCTCACAGTCTAATGCGAGAGATAACATTTGAACAGCTATGTAGAGACAAGCTATAAACAGGATAAATTGGAGATAATCTCAGAGGGAAGCCTTAAGGGGCATCAGGAAAGGCTTCCTGTAGAGATAGTGGGATGAAGCCAGGAAGGCTAGGAGACAGAGATGAGGAAAAGAATTCTAGGCATGGGGAGGACCAGTGAAAGTACACTGAGTCTAGAGACGGAGTAGCTTATTTAAGGATTAGCAGAGGTCCGGCTCCGTAGATATCAGAGCGTGTGCTGAGGAGTAAGGTATAAGAAGACTGTAAATTAAGCAGGCACAGGTTATGAAGGGCTTTGAATGCTAAACAGAGCATTTGGTACTTGATCCTGGAGGCAGTAGGGAGCCACTGGAATCTACTGAGTTGAGGAGTGACATGGTCAGACATGTGCTTTCAAAGGTCAGTTTGATAGCAGAGTCAAGGACGGACTGTAGTGGGGACAGAATAGAAGCAGGGAAGACTTAGCAACAGGTTGCTATCATGGTCCAGTAGTGAGGTGAGGAGGGCCTGTACCAGGGTGGGGGCCATATCAGAGGAGAGCAAGGAGTATATTTGAGTGATGTTTCAGAGGGAGACTCCATTAGACTCCAATTATCCATTGGATATGGGGGATAAAAGTTGAGCTGAGAGCCAAGGATAGCACCTAGGACAGTGTGTGAGTCTGTGTGACTGGCGGTGCCTCTGTTAGTGATAGGTAAGTTACAAAGAGGGGAAGGGCAAAGAGAATTTTAGAGTTCAGTTTGGAACGTGTTGAGTTCAAGGTGTCTGTGAGACCTCCAATAGGCAGTTGAAGATATAGTGCCAGAGATTAGCAGAGAGATGAGGGCTGGACAAGGAGATCTTGGGAGCTCCTGAGCCCACCAAGAAAAATAGTCTAGGGGGGGAAGGTACCATGATCTTGGAGGACACCTATGGTTAAGAGTCATGAGCTGGATGAAGATCAGTGGAAGAGGCTGAGAAGTGGTAGTTGGGTAGGAAGAGAATTGGGAGAGAGCCCGGAGTGAGCCTTTCAGCCTCATTACCATTCCTCCTATTCCTCTGCTCTCACAGACCACCCATGCTGGTCTTCTCTTTGTTTCTCACCCATGGCACTCCATTTCCCCCATCCATGTCTTTATCCTGGCCCTCGCTTGGATGGCGTTCTATTCTCAATGCAAGAGGCTGCTCAGACACCCACCACCCAACTGCTATTGTCTTCTCTCTCAAACTGCCTTTTACTTACCTGTCTTGAATTTATCTTGTGTTGATGTTACGTATGTATATTCAACATATACTTATATACATATCCATATGTACAAACACATACATATTAAATGCATATACGTGTGGTGTTTCCACCAGTAAAATGTAAGCTTCTTGAGAGCAGGGATTGTTTCATTTTTTGTGCATTCCTGGCACCTGAAATATCAGGCACCTAGTTGCTGTTTAACAAACAGCATTATTCTTTATGGCATTAGCTCTGTGTCCTGTCCTTCCCCCTGACCTGAGTTTCCCCTTCTCAGGAGCCGCATAGCATACCTGGCCAGACAGCCACCACGAAAGAGGGTGGCATAGGGGTTCTGTCGTTACTCTGGTATTAAAAATGCAAGAAGGACTATTAAAAATGGGCAGGGAGCCATAGGAGGGGCACCGCCAGTTAACTACTTAACAGAGGGGAAGTTCTGGAGACCACTAAAGGTCGTGCTGACAGGGCTTGTTGGAAACAACAAATGCTCTAAAACACATCGAAAGTGTCTTTTTACCAGGACTCTTTCAAACCAGCTAATTCGGCACTCAGTATAAACACAGCAATTACAATGGCTGCATGTTGTGTATTTTCCTAAGCTACTGTTTCCCCCAAACATTCCCGTGCAAATGGAAACCTTTTGCTGGATGATGAGGGGGCAGGGGATCCAAAGGGCTTCCTGGTGGTGGTCTTGTCAGAATGCTTTTTATTTCTTCTATGTGGACACAAACCCAGCTAGAGCACTTACCTCTTCTTGCTCCCAGGAGCTTTCTGGCCTTCTTGGAAATGAGAAACAGGGTTGCTTATGGTAAGGAATCATGTAAAAGCATTGGCGTGTGACCAGTAAGGAAGAAGAACCAGATTCCCCCCAATTATGCAGGGACAAAGATGACAAGTTAATGGCAACCCTGACCTGCCCATTAGACCCTGTTGTCACATCTGTGGGACAGAAGGGTCAAGGGGCCACCAGCACTGATTCCTGCCTGACTTGGCACAGCTTTTCAGACTCTGTCTCCCTTCCCAGGATGCCCGGCACGCTGCAGAGGAAGAGATTTACACCAACCTGAACCAGAAGATTGACCAGTTCTTGCAGCTGGCTGACTATGATTGGATGGCTGGGGATTCAGACAGCAAAGCCAGCGATTATCTGACAGATCTCATCGCCTTTCTTCGGAGCACCTTTGCAGTCTTCACACACCTTCCTGTAAGTCACGGTCACACTGTTCCACACTCCTTTGGACCAAAAATGAATCATTGATACATTTTGTTTGTATGTCACCTTTATTTCTGAACCTGTCCCTCCTCTCCTTCCCTACCCTGTATGCCATCCCTTGAAACAGAATCAAAAACAAAGAGAAAAGAGCAGCTCAGGGAGACCATCCTCATTCTTTTTGAAAGAGTCATTGTCTTGAAGTACTGCTGTCCACAGGAGGGCAGCTGAGTGGGCTAGGCATGAGCTCTGACCGTCCAAGTAGCACTGGCATCTAGAGGAGGAGAAAGGTGACCCATTCTCCTTATGCTCTCCTATCAGCAATCTCTCCTTTCCATATGAGCCTGCCTTGTTGTAGAGTTGAGCAGTAGAAATCACTCACAAATCTTTTATGAAAAACTCAATTGCAGCAGAAGGCAGACACACATCAGTTCACATCCCCGACCCTGATAGCCACAAGCCTCCAGTCTGTTCACCTTCAGACGTTCATCCAGCCTAAGAACTAGAGGCTTACCTCGTGAAAGGTGATGCCACAGCATTGTCCCAGAAGCTGCGTTTGAGGAAGTGGGCTGGGGTTGGCTGTTCAGTTAGAAATCCTAATGTAGCCCATGGCCGAAGGAGTGCCTTGCTCCCCAATCCTGGTAGCAACTGCAGAGAACCATGGGGAGCCCAAGATGGAATTCCCCCTTTCACCTATGCTGGGATTTCTCCTTTCTGCTTGCTCTGATTTAACAGTCTTCCTGCTAAACCTTAACTAGAAGACCCTGCTTGTTCCGCTGCCTTACTCCCATTATAGGGCAGCCAGGTGGCCCAGTGGATAGAGCGCCATTCCTGGACTCAAGAAGATCTGAGTTCGAATTCGGCCTCAGATACTTAACAGCCCAGTGATCCTGGGCAAGTCACTTACTTCTGTTTCTCTCAGTTTCCTCATCTGTACGATGAGCTAGAGAACGAAATGGCAAACCACTCCAGTATCTTTGCCAAGAAAACCCTAAATGGGGTCACAAAGAGTCAGACATGATTGAAGACAACTGAACAAAACAACAACCCTATTGCACCTTCATCTGCTTCTTTATTGCCAACTCCTTTGCTTTCTCCCCTCCATTTTAAGGATGCTTCGCTAGTGCAGTGGGACCAGACTCGAAAGGAAATAGGGGCCACTCATCCCTCCATAAGGATGGCTGTGGGCCACATGTTAACTTAGTCGTCAAATGTGATGTTATCTATGTTTAATTCTATTTTTGTTGATTTTGTTAAGTATTTCCCAATTGCAGTTTATTCTGATTTGGACCTCGCTTCGGACTGAGTTGTGGAGTGCGTTTGGTGCACCGGCCACATGTTGGCACCTCTGCCTGGAACAAAACCAAGTGTCTTATTCTTTCTTTAAACTCATAAAAAAGGATTAAAGTTCCAGGCTTGGAATCCAGAATTTTCCACCTGGGTGACTGTGGATCAGTCACTTTCCTTCTCTAGCTGTGGAGAATGAGGGGTTGACCTTGCTGACCTCTAATGTCTCTCTGATTTCTGAGATGCATTTTGCTAATTCCTTTATTCTGAAAGCTCCTCCTGGCTTTGAGAAGGTCAGTTTTCTTGCTCCGGCCCTTGAAGCAGCAGCAGGCATTGTGCCAAAAGTCTCTGACTTCTCCAGAGTCCGGTGTGATTGATCCCCATGGGGCAGGCAGCCTTGCAGGCTCACTGTTGTTGCTGCTAAGCTCATGTGAGTGGCAGTTTCTCACAGTGTATCCTACTTTGAAGGGGTTTGAGTAGGGTCATTGTCTTTTTGATGATTAAAGAGAAGATCCCATCTTTTTCCCCTCATCTAGCCTCATCTGCTAGACTGGTCTACCCAGGATTAATGACAAGGCTGTATCTGAAGGGCCGCCGGTTTGGGCTGGAAGGAATTATGATAATAGCCAACATTTATGTAGCCCTTTAAGGTTTTAAATGGATGTAGAGTGGAAGGTCCTCTAAAATCATTAAGTCCCACTTTCCTCATTTTACCGATAAGGAAACCCATTCCAGACTCAGGGCGTTAATATCCAGGGGGTTTTGAACTCTCTGCCTCTAAAGCCCATGACCTTTCATCTGTACTAAGTTAAGTTTCATATTTTTCCTGTGGGTTCTTTTCTGAGATGTGAGCATAATATAATGAGCCGGAAAGTACTGTGGAGTCCTGATTCCCCATCTGGATTTAGGCTGCCCCTACAGTGGGTCTGGCCTCCGTGTGAGTCTACAGTAGGAATCCCTTAGGGGAAAGGTCGTCCTGAGCAATGGGTGATATCTGGGTCATAGGCCCACAGAAAGAAGTGAAGTCTGGATAATAGAGCTCCTGCTAAGTCCTGCCTTCATGTCCCTGGAAATAAGAAGTCCTTTTATGGAGGAAAATACCTGTCCACATCCTCTCGGCTGGCGACCCCTATGTAATCACAAACCAAAATGCAGTGACCAGCTGGCCTGAGTCAGCTGTCATATCTATTCTTCTGTGCTTCACCTCTCAGGGGAATTTATTCTAATTTGAAAGGCCTCTCAGCCCTTGGGAGACAAGAGGGTTCGGTGAGCTACCTCTTGAACCAAAAACATGATTTTCAGGTTAATCAGAGCTATTGCCGGCAGGAATGAAATGAAACACTCATTTTGGGTGCCCCACCAACAGCATCATAGCCAAGAAGAAAGGGTGAGCCAGGACTTGGTGACCGCTGAGACCCCTTCTCACCCTTAAATTCTGTGATTCTCTGACAGGGTGCCTCTTTGGACTTGAGGTTTTAAGAGAACCTTCCTTCATCTACCGATTGTCCTGGAAGAGTCAGTCCCCCAGGAGTCATATCATGCTCCTCTACCAAAGGTCCTCAGCTAAGATAATTTAAATACTCAGGTCGCAGGGATCCGAAAAGATCATCCAGGGCATTGGAATGGCTTCATAAAGTCTACCAGTGTCTTTTCCGAGGGATAGGGATAGGGATAGGGATTTCTTCCTCCAGAGAAGGAGAGTCTGCTAACTCTTGATAAAACATTGTCCTTCTTTAGAAGACTATTGTCAGGCAGTTTTTCTGACCCTGCCCCTTCAAAACCACTCTTGCTGTAATTTCAATTTATCTCTTCTTTATCAAGGGCTTGAATGAAATCAGAGAACAGCTTTTCACTCCTGTCTTTCTATCCTTGGAAAATATTTGATCATTCTAAATGATTCATGGAGGAGATACTTTTTGCGTGAAGAAGGCTTCATTCTCAATGCATTCCTTTTTGGAACTCTTTTGGGTTGTGTGTTTCTTAGTAATAGCCAATAATAGCTCCAGTTGACATAGTGCTTACTGTGTGCCAGGTGCCACACACTTGCTAAGCCCTTTACTGTTATCTTGTTTGATCCTCACATCCACCCTGGAGGCAGGTGCTATTATTATCCTCATTTTACAGAAGAGGAAACTGTGAAGCAGGCAGACGTGAGGCCACTTGCCCAGGGTCACACAGCTAGTAAGCATCCGAGGTTGGATTTGAATTCGTGTCTTTCTGACTCCAGGTTTGGCACTCCATCCAGTCATGACCATTGTGCAGGTAGAAAGAATGGTGTTTGAAGGTAAGGGTGTGCATGGATGGTGGTAAGGAGGCTCTTTGGGATTGGTCAGTATTCTTAACCAGGTCCAACTCAAGCTAGTCTCCTGCTAATGGAAAGTCGGACGTTCCTTCAGTAGCTAGCTCGAGGAGGTTCACTGGGCCTGTGCCAGGGAAGGAACTTCCACAAAGTTGTGCATCAGGGATGCTGCCGGGTGGTTTAAGTGAGGGGAGCTCCCTGACCTCAGAGTTGTGCCCCATGTCAGATGAGCCTCCAAGAGACGCTGAGCTTCCAGGGAAGAGGACAAAGGCCGTCCTGTCAAGTCTAGAGCCTGGTCTTCTGCCCTGGGGGAAGGGGAGTAACACCATTCCTTCAACTCCAGTATGGTTCCCTCTCCTGAACTGCCTCAGAACTTGAGAGGACTGCACTCTGAGGACAGACTCTTTGGGCAGTGAAAATCTATCCAAAACCATTATTCACTGATTAACGCCGACACCCCCACCCTGCCCTATATCCTCCTTATTCCAGTGATTCTTTCATCTTAAATATTTTCCTTTCTCACTCCTTCCATCTTCTGGCTCTCATTGAGAACCTGCTTCCTCCTGATGACACAGCCTCCCTGGTCCCCTCTTTCCAGCACTGACCACGCTTTTATTCATTCCCCCTCACTAACTCATCCAGGTGAGGGAGTTGGAATGCTCCTTGCTCCCCATTGCCTCTTCCAGGTTCTGCCTCTGCCATCATTATTCTGTAACCCCTGCTCCTTTGAGGTTCATTCAGTCCATATCTACCACTCAATAAAGGGTCAAAAGATTTGTTCAGACAGCTCTCAAAAGAATTGAAAATTATTGACAACCATATGAAAGTTGGATCTAAATTGCCAATAATAAGATAAATGCAAGTTAAAACGGCTCTGAGCTTTCATTTCACATTCCACAAATCGTCAGCAGTAATAGTAGATGGAAATATTCAAAGCTTGAGGGATTGCAGAAAGGCAGGTATATTGTAGCCCTCTCCCACAGAGTGGGTTCCCACTCCCGGAAGGTCTTCTTTTGAAGAGTGTTGTTGAGATGGAGTAAAGTGGTCCTATGGGATCTCTTCCAACTCAGAGATTATGTGATTCCAGGAAAGAAAGTGAAAAGGAATTTTCAAACATGGTGCGCCTTTCCTTCAACATGAACAATTGCCAAATTAATTGGAATTCCTTTGGAAAAAAAGATTTGAGTGGTAGAAAATGGCTCTCTAGAGGCACTTGGGATGTGATAGACAAAGAGGCAGATGTTATTTTCGTACAAGGAGATAGTCAGCTTCTCAGTTTCCTCAGAAATGTCCAGCCCTCGCAGTGGTCAAAGAGCCCAGAGAATGCTCTAGTCATGTCCTCCATTGCATTCTGTGAGGCTACCACCACTTGTAGATTTATGATGGTGGAAGTGCAGATGTAAGGAGA